ATGGTTAGTATTGCATTGTGTCCTTATCAAGTGCTGTAACTCAGTACACCAATATTTGTAATTGATGTTAGCAGCAGTCATCTACTTAAAAAAGCTGTTAAGCAGGACAGTGGATAATTCTTAACGCATTGATCTTCTGTCACTGAGTTCACAGATTTAAATTTATTCCCATACAGTGGTAGGAGTGTATTAGTACAATCTGATGACTTTTTCCTTGTGTGGTGTTGACAGTTCAGATCCAACCTCTTTAACGTAAACTCCCCTGTCATTTAGCAACAGCTAACAACCCAGTTCATGTCAGAAGGGGCTCCCATGACAAACTCGTGTGTATTTTGATGGTGAGTCAACATCCATTCTATGATCATTCCCATCTGCAAATAGGTTGCCAGATGATGTCCTGCTTTCAAGATTTCTCCATACAATATTTTATGGTGGAAATTTGTTTTAATGACAATGTGTCCCTACTGAATACAGACTCATAATGAGTTTCTGGTTATGGAGTCTAGAGCGATACTCAAGACATGTCAGTTCCCTTTGGTTTTGATTCTTGCTGGCTTTACATGCTCCACCTTCTAACAGCTTAAAAGTTCTCCTCATGTATCCTGTGTGCATAACAATATACATTGCATATTCATAATAGCATATCTTCATTTTTATTCCAGTTCTTAGTTACACATGTTGAGTCCGTAAATATCCTTAACATTTCAAAAGTATGCTAACAAAAGCATTACAATTCCCATAAATGTGAACTGTTATAATGAGTTTATAAATAGTCCCTCTTCCATACAGTTACACATATGTACTACGTAGCCAATGTAAGAAATTACTTTCAGCAACAGCTTGTCAAACACTCCTGTTGAAAAATTTTTATCATAAAACCCCAAGTCTCACGATATTTCTGTCAAAATAAGCTACTTGAGTTTTTTACTTGTGCAAGTAACCTGAACTGATATCTTTTTCCTGCCCAAGAGAGATTACAGTTGAACTGTTGTAATGAACAGTGAAATAGAGATTTAATAGGTACACTGTGTTCCATAACTATGGAACTTGAATTGCACATATGTATTTTAGCATTTTTTACATTAACATTTTAGTTCTTTAGTACCTACACATAAATTTTTAGGGTTAAAACATCAACTAATATATTCACAAACCTCCACAAGCTATACTGAACAGGATAGCAAGACACACAGAGAAACATCTTCAGAAAATTGCTGGGGACGTGTCCGATCTCAGGAAAGCTTTTTCCGCAGCTTACAGCTGCAGCCCAAACTTCACATCAGTCTGTGTGAATTGGCATCTATCCTGCAACGGCTGAACAGTTCAGAAAAGATGCAAAACATCTCAAACCAAGCCTTTCTAATGAGGCAATCTCTAACATAACAGCATCATGTTAAAAATTCCCACCCAAAAGGGTTGAAAACCCAAGAGCTTTTCGTTCCTTATACATGGATGTCCAGAGCCAGCTGGTTACACTGGGAAACATATGCTGCAACCTATTCCCAGGGCGTGGGGGAAAGAATACAGCTGCTTTCCGTAGAGCAGACTGCACACTGCCAAAGACGCCTCATCAGACACCGTCCAATAGAGCTGAGTGTATAACGTGATATTACTTATTTTGCAATATCAACTTCATGCAATCTGCACTTTTTATGACAGAGTCTCAAAGAAGAACGGGGACTTCTTTGACTTCATTCAGTTTGAGCCCTATCTGCCATAACACTTTTCGTGAACACTCCAACACATACCACCAACACCAGCCGGGCAGAGTTTTATCTCTCCCTAGACTTACACAAGCCGAACTGTACGTGCAGAAAACAAAAGTGTCTATTTAATAGCTAACTTCAAAAATCTATACTATGCCCTGGTATACTATGTACACCCTAGCAACTCCCTGTAGAAGTGAGGAGGTTGCACAAGGTAAGAGCTGCGGACATCGAAATCCTTTTAATGCAATGGAACAGCTCTGAAATAGTCTCACATTTGCTTAGATAAACACTTAAATGATCCTCATTATTACACAACATTTTGAAAAAAGAGAGGTCACACTGAGCCTGCAGATGTGCAGAGACTAGAAGGCCCTTCAAGCAAAGCTTGTATCCTGAAGCTCCTGGAAGCCTCAAGGACCAAAACCACTGCAGACTAGTTCCTTCAGTAACACAAGCACCCCAAAGAGAGCACAAGAAGACGACCGACAGAATTCCCCGTCTTCCAAACTGGTAAATGCTGGACCCACCCGCAAGACAATGCGGAAGCTCTGGCCCTGTAAAGGCAGAGTGGCTCCAGACCTGCTTTTGAGACGTTCCGTCCACACGCATTTCCCACGCGTCACACACTGGCGACATCAACAGCTAAACAAGAATCTAGAACAAACTGTTTACAAGTTTAGTTTTCCGTGTTTACCCATACACTTTATCTCCCTTCTTCCCCAGAAGCCAACTTTGGCTTTTGGGTCCAGAAACAGGGGAATAAAGGAAATTTGCCAAAATAAGCATTACGGATTTCCATTTTCCTGGAAAAGTGTCTCCCAAACAGGGCTGGTTGCATGCTGCCACCACCACCTGCTCCACCGCACCAGCCCTGCCTGGTTGGCACACACCAATGGGAGGCCAGTTGCCCTCAGCAGCTCACTGCAATCCTGTCATGACAAGAGGCAGTGTACCTACTTCCACATCTGGCAAGACGACAAACCCTGCTGCTCTGCTCAGAGCCAGCTGAAAGCTCCGAACGTGAGGTTCTGCCCTACACGCCAAGCCCAGA